CTTCCTTGTTGCCTGCTTAGACTCTTGGCACTCTTAGGTGAGCAGACTTAGTCAGCCTGTGTTGCCCTAACAGTCTATGCAAGTGCTATGCTTGAACAAGCATACACATGGATTCTCAAAGAATCATGTCATGCACAACTCCCCTTCCACCTTCCAAGGTTCTAGTTTGTTGATCAGGCTCTGGTTCTGCTTGAGGAGGGGCACCATCCAGGGCATGTTTGCCTTGTGGAGGAGAGGATCCTGGGGGAATTCATGAAGTATATTTTCAACACCAACACTGAGCCCAATGGAGAGTTGTCAGGAGTCAACACTGAGAACACTTGCTTTTTGACATTCCTGCAGCATGTTGTGTTTGAGATGGTGAGCAATGGAACTGTTGTGCTTGGCGACCTCCAAGGTGAGTGAGGGACTGTCATTCCAGGCACTGCATGTCATTGCCATAACAGGGTCCAGCATGCTTCTCACCCATCCCATCTTATTTACCCCACTGTATGTGTGAGCAGGTTGATGCATGACATTAACTAACTTACCATAGTACTGCACCCAGCCAAGAACAGCCATTTGGCACAGGCAACTACCCAGGAGGATTCGAGGAGTGGGTGAAAGACCACAAATGCAACATTGAATGCATTTTTTTCCAACTGAATTTGAAGATGGTGCTCAGGGAGACCAGAGGGGTGGGCAACAAGGCTGCAATGGTGCATTGCAGAGGTAGAACAAGCAGAAACCTAGTGCTGCATCAAAGAATTCCTGTTGTTTCAAATGCAAATGTGTATGACATATGCCAATTTGATTGTGTTTTAATATGGTGCCAGGGAGTTCTTGGCAGCAGCCACCCCAGATTTCTTCTTCTTTCTCTCCATCTCTTTTCTCGTCTTCCAACAACATTTATTTCTAAGGGCCAGGTCATCTTAGTCATGACCTACATTGTGCATTGAAACAAGAGTGGGAAAATAGATTGAGTTCCCAATGTTGGGTACATGGAGGGAAAAAAAAAGCAGTCCGGAAGGTTGGATAATTTCCATATTGAGAACAATTCCCAATGCAAGGCCAGTGACGGGGTCCTACTTTGCATGCTGTGCAAAAGACCCTTAGTTTGGCTCCGGCCGACCGGCACGGATGCTAAAAAGAAAATTCCGCACTTAAGCGAACTAGGCCCTTCCGGCTTTGAGATGTTCGAGACCTGGAGGGAATGTCAGGCCGAAACAAAAGAAGCAACGTGATGCACACGTGACGCGGGTGCAATTCGCCTTTTGTTCTGCCAGCACTTCATCCCCCCCTCATCTTTCCCCAAGGAGTGTCATCCAAGTATAGCAGCCTTCTATGCCTGCAGTCTTATGCAGAACCCGCCTCCGATTAGCCTAAGCACCTTCCCACACTCAATTTTGCCCGACGACTCTGTACGGGCTCCCAATGGAGTAACTGCTTGTTCCTGATCCTCGACGGGTCACAATGTCTCACCCGGACTCTTAGCAAGCACAGAACTTGACTTCCACTCGCTAGCTGGTTCTTCCCTTTGCCATTGCACGTTGGCAGCCACGGTCGGTCGATGAAATGCACGCTACAGGGATGTCATGAGGTCGGGTGACCAGCATCCACCTAGCTGGTTCAATCCTCGTACTCCGTTCCTGCCCGAACCACGCATGGCTAGTTTTTCCGCCTTCTGCGTCTTTTACTTCTGTGGCGAAGGCTGGCAGCAGTTTCGTGGGGAAGAAATTGTCCGAACCGGGAAAACGCATTGTTCCCTGTCTTTGCTTCAAGATGTCAGGCTATGAGGACAGCGCACTGGGTTGATGGGTGCAAAGGTTGCGCACACAAGCTATGTTTGCTGGTGCTCTGCTCGCTGTGGGCCTTGGGTCCTTGGCGGCCGCTGCTGCTCCCTCTCCGCAGTCCTTGGGGAGTGACTTGAATCTGATCTTCCAAAGCAACCTCAACTGTGCGACGTTCCTCTCCGTCCGTACTCTGTATGCTAATGCTTTGTCACAGGGACTGAAGCACCCGAACATCAAGGCTCTATTCTGCTCGATGCGCGTACTTATGCGGCAGCGCAGGCAAGTTGTGCCCAACTTTCTGAAGGCCTCCTGACGCCAAATGGATCTTTCTTCCTTGCCGACTACTCCTTCGCTCTCAGCTATCTCGAATACGCGGGTCTCAGCTATTTCGGGGAGCGGTTCTGGATCGCACAGGAGGGCAGCGAATGTCTCACGATTGGCGCAGGTGCTAGCGTCTTCCCTGCGCCATGCAGCGCGACGTTTAGGGCGTTGTGCTCACAGAGTGCTGGATATAACGTCCCGACTGTGACGGGCGTACCAAGCAATTACGAAGTCACCGTCCAATCGAACGAGTTGACCATCACTGGGTGCGTCATCTGCCGTCTAAGCACCTTCAATAATCTGATTCGTTGTGCCCAGATTCCGTAACCAGGCATCCTTCCGCTTTTATGGCATTCCGTACGCGAATCACCCTCAACGGTGGACTTACTCGACGATGTACACAGGCAATCCGACGATCAATGCAACCGCATTTGGTAGTGCTTGCCTGCAGACTGGGCGCGGATCGGAAGACTGCTTCTATTTGAACATCTGGACTCCTTATTTGCCGTCGACACCCAATCCGCCTTCCTGCAAGCTCAAGCCTGTCCACTTCTGGATCCATGGAGGCGGATACACAGGGGGTGCTGGGTCAGACTATGATGGTGGTCCGCAAGTTGCCAGAGGTGACGTGGTTGTTGTATCGATCAACTACCGCCTATCGACCCTCGGTTTCCTGGCGCTCAGCGACGGTGTTACCAATGGGAACTACGGGTTGGCGGACCAAATCCTTGCCATCGAGTGGGTACAGAAGTATATCACCGCGTTCGGGGGAGACCCCACGAGGATTACGATCGCGGGTCAGTCTGCCGGTGCGGGCTCCGTCCGTGCGCTTCTGGCCTCCCCGAAGGCGATCGGGAAATTCGAGGCTGCGATCCCTCAAAGCAATTTAGACGGGATGTTGTACGCGGCAACATACTCCAACTACTATACCATCAGCCAAGAGCTGATGGTCGCCGGGTACGCCATCCTCGCTGCCACTGGGTGCAACACAACTGCTGTCAATAGCAGCGCGACGCTCGCCTGCCTGCGCGCGTACAACGGTACTGCCCTGGTGTACATGCCCACCGTTGCGCGGTATGTAGTCGTTGACGGGACGTATATCACGACTCCTCAACTCGAAGTAAATGGTTCCGGACCGGTGGCCAACGTTCACCTAATGATGGGCTGGATGAGCGACGACGGCAACTCCTTTATCCAGTACACAGGCACGACGAACCTGACAACAGCGATCACAGAAGAGATCACATGCAACGCGGCAGAGACATACGCGATCGAGTCCTTCGGTCTTTTCCCCCAGCCCAACACAGGCAACACCTCCCTTGACGTGTTCAACGTCACAGCCCGGCTTGCGACAGATGTCGAATTCCGCTGCTTAGATCAGGCTACAGGCGTATCACTTGCAAAGCACGGGCTGATGAAGAATCTCTGGTTCTATCAGTTTGATAGAGGGTATAATGGGTATGACCCGAATGGGGTGTGTTACGCCCCAGTCACCGCCGAGTACCCGTACGGCGACCCTAATCTGCCGCACTTCAAGTGAGTCTCCTTTCTCCCCTTCTCCCCTCCTTCCCTACGCCAACAATTGACACTCCTCAGTTGCCATTCTGGCGACCTGCAATACACATTCGGCACTGTCGGTCTTTCCGGTACCCCCTTCAGGGACGCGAACGACCTTTACTTCCAGCAGCAGATAGTCGACCAATGGACCTCGTTCTATCGCTCGTACAACCCAAACCCCGATCCGTTGTATCTCGCCGTTAGGGGGTACACGAATACTGCGCTGGAGTATGTGAGGGACGGTGCTTGGCAGCAGCTGAGTTACGCGAACCCGACGCTGAGGGTGCTGAGTGTGCCTAGTACGCAGAGGCCCATGTTGGAGACCGCGCAATGTGATTCCCTCAACTACACGCTTGCGTATTACGGATGAAGGTCGGGGCTGGGAGTTGTAGTACAACAAAGGAATCGATCATCTTTTACACCTTGAAAGCGTGGACAGTCAATCCATCAATTGCCCCTGAACAAGTTCGTTTCCAGCGCTAGTGTACAAGACGCAGCTTTCAGGTGGTTCCAGTCCCCATCCTCGAGCAACTCACTTCTTGACCTCCTCTTTACCCTCCTTTCCCAGCTGCTTGATCTTCTTTCCCTTTTCCTTGAGCACGGCCAGGATCTCGGACCACGCCTCTTCCGCAACCTTTTTTGCCTCTGGAGCCTTCTGCTTAAGTGCGTCCGTGTACTTTTGCAGCTCGGGGGTAGACTCGAGTGCCTGCAGCACTGGCTCAGAGACTGCATGGAACGAAGCAAAGAAAAGGCGTACCACCTGTCCCCCAGGGAGGAGCTTGATCGTCTCCTCCAACTTATCCCACGTCTCCTCGCCCGCCTCAGTTGCCTCTTCCTCCTTCTCATTAACCCAATCCTTAAACTCCTGCACAGTCTTCTTCTTATCCTTGCCCTCTGCAGCCTGGCGCAACCGGTCCCATACCTCACCCGACTTTCCAGAGACGGCACCAACGAATGTGCCCCTGTGCTCGTCGAGAGTTTTACGCAACTCAGGAAGCTTGTCGAGGTACGGCTTGGCTCTGTCCATTCCTTCCTTCCACACTTTCTCGCCCACCCCACGCAGGTCCTGCTGCCTTCGGCTCAGCATCTCCTTAGCCTTGCTGACGACTTCGTCCGTCGATGCTCCACCCTTGCTGAGCATCTCTCCCAGCTGCTTGCGGACATCCTCCATAGCCTTCTTTCCCTCCTCTCCCCTTTGGAAAGCAAACCTTTCCATCTCCGCATACGCCTTCCCAAGCCCCTCCTCGGCCCCGGGGTACTTGTCCAAGAAGTCCCCTCCAGCCTTCCGGGTCAACTCCGCCAATTCCTTCCCCCTCCGCGCCAAGACGCCGGCGACCTTCCTCGCAGTCTCGAGGTCCGCTTCACCTTCATCGACCACCTTCCTCAGCTCTGCATATGCTCTGCCGATGATCCCGTCCACCTCAGGCCCATGCTTCCTACTCGCCTCCTCGAGGTTGTCGAACGTCTCGTCGACATACTTCTTCCCGCCTGGGATGAGGAGCGTGTACGCATGAGCGGTCTGGCGGAGGTATGCAATGGCCTGTGAGGTAGACGGCACGTTTTTTAGGGCTTTATCCCGCGCTTGCACGGCGCTGTCACGGAATTTCTGCGCCCCTTGAACGAATTTTGCCGCACCGGACCAATGGTAATACCCGTAAACTGCAGTTTGTCAGAGTGTATCATCGTATGATAGCAAATGAGTACGCACTACCGCCGAGGACGACACCACCACCCAGGATAGCAGAGAGGAAGTTGGAGACGAACGCGCTCCCTTGCCTGGGTTGGGTGGAGTTGAACCGCCTTGGGAGAATGTGGGGATTTCTGGCTGGGCGGAAAGCGGTACGGGAGAGAGAAGTGCGCAACATGGTTGGCAACGATGAAGAAGGAAGTGGGAGAAGGTAGAGGATACGGGGTGGATGTATATACCTTTTATGAGATGCCCCGCCACCCTTCTCCCTCACTTCTGTTCTGGACAACTTTCACACTAGTGGCCGAAGTGACGCGCACTGGTACCAAACAAAGGATACCATGACGTCACCAGTAGAAGGCGCATTATCTCCGTCCTTATCTCCGATGAACGACATCAATCATCGCAACGTCCAAGTCTCGGATTAAACGAAAAATAATGCATCTACTTCGGGCGCTGTGGAGTATTCACCACAAGAGCAGTGATAATTAAAATGATCTTCTGGGCACTTCACTCCAACGGCCAGGTCTACATGAAAACGCACATGTCACCGTCTTCTTGCGTCCCAACTGACTGTTCTGGTCCAGACGACAGGATTTCTCCGGCGGTAGTGAAGCCAAATAGTTCTGGTATCGCAGAAGGCAAGAATATCCACGAGCGAACGCCATGAATCATTTTCCTCCAAGTCCATCCCTTTGCTGGGGAATCGCGAGCGGAAGTTGAGAGTGATTTGGAGAATATGTATATTGAAACAACCGGTGTCGTACTTCCATGGTCCTGTCTTTGGTTTTCGAATGCAAATGTTTTCTGATGTAGTGTTGGGCAGGAATTGGAGATCATATGCAACGTTTTCGAGGGCTGGAATATCGACATATCGTCTCCGTCCTGGAAGTGCATCTCCAATCTTTCCAGCCGATGAAACCCTCGAAATCCATTCCTAGTGACATGTGATCGCAAAGTAGACAGCTGCTTTGTGGATGAGCAATAATTTGATGAGCAAGGTGACCTCATACCTCAGCAAGCAGATCACGTTGTGTCATCAAACTTAGCCTGACTAGATGCGGAAGGCTGTCACTAATAAGCGAGAAATGCATGGGATCGAGCGAATAGAGTTCTAGGTTGACGATTTGGAGCGGCGTGGAGGACAAGCGCAGCAGGTTGAGACATGCTGTCAGACCTAATGTCGCCAGCGTGCTGAACGAGCTTGGCCCACTGAGAGATATCTCCTCTACCGGGCGCCCCTTCACAAGTGCAACGGCAAGCAAAACACCACAGGTCAGGCGACGTAGACAAGGAGCAATGTGGATGGGAGATTAACCAGCTCCTCTGCATGATGCTCCCCATACCGGTGTTGTAGGTACAGTTCCTCCAGATCCGGCTGGGAGCGGAACACAGGAAGTGCTGAACAGTCCCTCGCATACGGCAGTGTTAATCTCGACAAGCGAGCTCGCACGTAGCCTAGGTTCTTCGTCAGAGCATGCCACACTTCAGAGGATCCTCCACGGATGCATTGGATGTCCAAAGACTTCAGATTGGGGAGCAGATCCCGCGTGCGGAAAAACAGGCGCATGCGTGCTCCTTGCTAATAGGACGTCTAGATTCAGCGTGGAGTGGGAGAAGATAATCGCTTACTAGTTTAAAATGGATTATCATCGCCTGATTCTCGGAGTGATCAGGCTCTAGATTCACATCCAAAGCGATGATTTGAGCCGCGATATTCAGATTGCGTGACACCGAGCGGTATAACTTGGCAAGTTTTACAACGCAAGATGATCTCACATGGCTGTATAGATGCTTTGATGCAATGAATCCTATCATCGAGTTTGCGGAACAGAGATTGGCTAGATCGCGCTTGCTCGTGCAGAATGAGATAATCTCGGCCCACAGCTCGTATGGAAGTTGGGGGAAGACGGTGTCAGATGGCATTCTTGGCCGCAAAATAAGTAGGACGACGGTGAGCAGCGTCAGGAATGTATAACGATTTCCAGACTGTCGTGCACAGGCTATACAGTGTGGGTTGGCCGGGGAATTGTAAGGAAAGCCAGTCCTGATTACAATACTGCGGACCGTTGGTCGAATACAGGCAGAATCGGTAGATCCCGTTTGCGTCCGAAGTCTACAGAGGCCGGGTTCGCGCTTCCGACAGCGCATATATGTAAGTTAATCATCATATTAATATTTAATTATGCGGGTATGACAATGGAATATAAAAGGTAATGACTGTGGTGGTGCAGAGGGGAAAAGGATGGGAAAGACATAAAGATACAAACACGGTCTGTAACGACAGAGCATGAAGATGAACCCAGAACCCGAAATAACGGACGGCAGACAGGCGCGTACTGTGGAAGAGCATAATTGGGTAACGAGCGTAGTAGGACGAGCATCCTTGTGAAACGTAACGCGCAGTAGATAACGAGGTTGTGCAAGCTGGTTGCTGTCGAAGTATCATTCATGAGTCGATGCATTTGTAATCTGGAAGCCTGGCCAGCGTTTGACTATCCGCCCCAGCCTGGTCAACGCTGAGGATACCGAGGAGCAGGGTGGACGTTGGGGTACTGTGGCGGCGGCTGGGGATAGGGGATGGGGACTGGATAGGGCGACGGACCAGGCGGCATGGCCGGATACCCACCTTGCGGGTACATGGGGCGGACTAGCACCTGCCCAGGCTGAGGATAGGCGACGAGAGGCAGTGGAAGTTGGGGTATCGGTCCTTGGCCATGAGGAATGTATCCCGGCGGCTGATACGGGGCTGGGTAGGCCTGGGGGGGGAGATGACGTGGTTGTGGCGGGGGGCCTGCTACGGGGGCGCCGCCAGGCATACGCTGGGGCTGTCGGCGAGGGTCGGTGGTGAACACCCCTGCCGTGTTCCAGGCCCTCGTACGCGCTGGCACGGAAGGGTCGACGTAGTCTCCTGGAGAGTCGCACTCGGTATCTGCAAACTCGTCATCGTCTTCATGTGCTTGGCATCCAACGTCTGGCATCGTCGCTGCCCGACGTTTAGGCGGGGGAGCACGCGGCTGACTGGATGGATCCATGACAGGGTGTGTGTCACCAGATACGATGATAGTCGAAGACTGGCTGCAAAGAGCGAAAATATATAGTAGGCGCGCTGTGAGAACAGGTAGGTTAAGTAGGTGAAGATTGAGGATGAGGGCTTTGTCGTCTTATTGTCCCATGACTCAAGGTCAATATATACCAAGCATGTGGTCCAAGGGTCGGGTGCCCCTATCTTGCTGAGGCGCTGAACGAGCACCCAAATACAAAGCACGTTCAAAAGTGAGTCCAAGTCATACATAATACAACGAAGATTTGGATACAGGGAATTTGGAGAAAGTTGCCGGAAACCAAACCTGTGTGGAGCCCGGGAAAATGGTTACACTGAAGCACAAACGTTTGCAGAGGTTGTTGAGTCGTGTTACAACTGCAGGCAGCAGTTTGTCTATCGACCCTATATATATGTACCTCGGTTGTTGACAATGATGGTATGTGCGGAGAGCGGAAAATAGATGCCTGTCAATGGGACGTACCCGTGAGAAGGTAGCTATAGAGGCAGGCGTCCTCGTGTGCACACACTTGCCCAGTGCCGAAAATTCCGACATCAACCCCACCAGTTTCCCGGAAATGACTCAACCCCCGCATGAGTGCACAGGCGGCCAACAATCGCATTCATTGCGTGACTCCATATAAACTGGTGAAGAAGAAAGCGGTGTCACGCATTGTGGGAGAACGCGTGTCCCTGGTGCAAGCCCGACCTCAAGATTCCTTGTTACATGTTTTATCCTTAACTAGTAGAGTGTAACGGTGGCACGATGAAGGGAGTCATGATATTGAAATGCAATGACCACTGTGTCTGCAGAGCATTTGCCAGACCGGTCACGGTTGTTTTGCCAGCGGATCACCGGATCGGGATCGGGCCGATTAGCACGTGCATGACCGGAGTTGTGATTCTTGACATGTACAAGTTAATCAATAAGATTGATATGTAGAATACAGCAATGCGATGATAATGACCTGTGATGCTACTGTGGATCAGATAAACTCCCGAGCTGCACAAGCCAAAGGGGAAGTTCTGAGATAGGTATGACGAGAATGAAAATAGTGAAACTGTATGCAGAGCCACAAGAGTTATTGAGGGGAGGAGGGTCCTTGTGCTTGTACAACGCGATGCTCGGTATGTAACGAGTGATGGTAAGCTGGTTGCTGACTAAGTATCTTGAGTCGAGAGACGTGTACGTCCTGGCCGGGCTTGATTATGGACTCCTGCCTGGCCTGTGCTGGGGAGGATAGTGAGGTGGTGTGCTTGGATACTGCGGCGGCGGTTGGGGATAAGCGAGCATCTTTCCCGGATAAGGCGACGGGACCGGAGGTATGGATTGGTTTCTGTGTCGATCTTGAGGGGGTATCCGGTGGAGGGCTTGTACCGGAGGGAGGATATACGATGACAGGACGAGGTGCTTGAAGAGTCGGTACTTGGTATACAGGTGGGGGATATGCCTGTGGAGGAGTATAACGAGGTTGTGGGGACGGGACAGCAACTGGGCCGCCATCCATCCACCCCGTTGCCGCCGGCGTAAAGGGATAGGAAAAGCGCCTGCTGCACTCAAGCCGCGTGTGCGGTGCAGGGCATCGTGTGATTGCGGAGTACAATAGATCGTCTTCAACGGTACTGTCCTCTCAAAGCCTGGGTGATGCACCGTTCATCGTTGCGGCCCAACACTTAGGCGCGTCCCAAGCTTCCTTGGAACCGAGGTTGGTCATAGAGAGATATGATTGTGGAGAAGAAAACGATTGGGGTAAGGGGGTTGTGAATGGATGGAGGTAGGAGAGCTTGAGTTGGAATATTTGTCGCATTATCATCGCAGGACTCCTGGGTTTATAACGGACAAGTCGTAAGCATCTTGCCGGCATCACTGCGACGGATGATTCAAGTGGGTGGAATCTAAGCTATGCGCGTTGACCAATAAGCCTACAATCTAGAAGGTTTGAGGAGGAAAGTAGAAATTTTCGTCCTGGAAGTCGAGAGCATGTCCCGGAAATGAAAACAGTGTCGAGCTCGGAAGTGATATTGTTCCAGCAGCACGTTTGCATCACTTGCTGCTCGCTGCGGTATGACCGCACAACGAATTCGTGTCGAGAAGTACCCTATTTGGGTGACTCTATCCCGTTAAGTGCCGAATGCGAGAACTGGAACGGATGAGGGGAAACATGATTGGTCAAATCGGACAAAACGTGGTTATGGAACCAAACCCCCTCTGTACCCGCTAGACACGTGATAAACCCAGGGTTCCTTCCCCGTACCCACCGGTACCGAGGAGTACCCCGCTATTTCCATGGGTACCCTTCTCACACTTTTTGATCCCCATCAACTTTGGCACCAACGGTCCCCAACCCTCGTGATATTGGTGTCCTCTCGTGTACCCATCTGTACCCATCTGTACCCATCTGTACCCATCTGTACCCGTGCCCCTCATCATCCCTAGTCACCTGTTCTTTTTGATCTGCCTTCAACCCCCGAACGTCCCTGTATCCTGTGTACCCTCCCTGCGAACCAATCTCCGCATTTCTCACCTTATTAGGATTCCCTATTTCCTTTTCCTTCCCTTAACATACCTCTGGGGTCTATTTCACCCATGCTCGTCATATAGCAGCCTCCCTTGATACCATCAACCAGCTGTCCGTTGACTTTGTTTTTTACTCGTCATACTCTGGACTTCTCCTTGCGTGCCACAGTCTCCGTGGCAACCTATGGATCTCAGAGGAACGCCCACCCGCCCTCTCTGTGCTTGGCTTCTCTCCAAAATTTACCACTTCCTCGTTATCTCTCGTCTATTTTACCTTTTAATATCTTTCTCTGCAGTACGCACACGTCTACCCCTTGTCCTACTTCAACTTATCTAGCCTCTTGACCACCGACCGACCATGTCTGGACCTTCACCGCCAATGCACCCTCTTTCTTTGCCATGTCACTTTGTCGGTGCGTCTTCCTCCCCCGGCGGCCTACGTTGTGTTTGTCCCGCCTACGATCACCAGAATGGCCTATCTGCGTTTGTCCTTGCAACCCTCCAACCAGCGTCTAACAGTACCTCTTGCCAAAATTGCGGACATCCTCACTCCTACCACTATCCTGAAGCCCCTTCCGATCTACCTATTCCTCCTCCCATTCACACCATCCCGCAATCTGCGGTGCCTTTTCCGTCAGGCCCGCCGTCCGATCACAACCTCCTCGCAAACCTTATCAGCGTCATGGCGCCTACTGGGTCAAGTCCATATAGTGCCCAACACGCTCTCCGCCGGGTGCAAGCAAACCACGCTGAACGGACTGCCATCAATGATCAGACTTCGCCACCTCATCCGTACCATATTGCCCTTGCATCTCGCTCCCAAAGTATGCGGCTTCGTACTAACCCCACACTCGAGCAACAGCACCTCCGCCGTCATCCGATCCGTTCTCGCCATGTCCTTCCCCCAGATGTCCCACGCACCATAGAATTTCTTGTAATTCTCCGTGTGTATTCTGCATATCCCACCCCTAACGACCAGGTATATTTAACAGGCCCAGTGATCGTGTTCTTTTGTCTCACCTCCGTTCTTCAGATCCAAGGTCGAACGAACATTCGTTTTGTTACTGCACATATACCCTTTCTCGAGGCGTAACTATAATCTCCGCTCTCTTCCCGTAAATCATAGCTCAACAATTTTTAGGCACAATGCGGCTGGTCTTGTGCGTCTGCTTGCCCTGCCTTCTACCATGCGACTGCCGGATCTTGTAACTGCCATTATTCGCCTTTTCCCTGCAGTCATCATCTCCCAGCAGGCTTCCGACTCACTTCGTCTCATACCAGAAGAAGCCCGCCCTTTCGCTCCTCTTCGCGCTGTCCGCAATTCTCTTCAACCCTGGACCGGTCTCGCCAACCTCACACTTCATGATATCGTCAAGGAATCGAAGAAGTGCGTCAAACTGCAGCGCAAGAGGCTTTCTCTGCCCATCGCGATTGAATTTGGTAAGTCTAGTCACATCTCCCTCGATATTCCTGCTCTCTCTCTGAACATATTTATAGCACCTACTTACGATCCCCTCGGCTCCGTTCATTCTTCCTTATTTCCCTCGGCTTTCATGAATCAATTTCGCTGCGATACTCTGAATGCTGGGACCGGGGTGGAAAAAGTTAGCTTTTCTATCACATCCGCTTGCTGCCTGGACATTAGCACAACTGATTGTCTCAAATAGCTGCCGCTGGATCTTGAACAACTCCGTTTCCTTACCGCTCAGCTTTATTTATCTTCCGCTTCCCCCTCCTCTATGCCCGACCAAGTGTCCCACCAACAATCGGTCACTTTCCCGGCATCCTTAGCTCCGGGTAATTCCCTCCGAAACAACCCCCCCCCAGTCTGCGTTTCCCAACCCATCTTACCCGTACCCGCCATGGGGCCTTCCTTGACCGTTTCCAGATCGTTCTCGCCCGCATCTTCTTCAAACCTCAGTGAAGCCATTTACCAACCAACGTGCCTTCCCCCTGTCTCTCATCGTCGGAATATCGCCATTGGATCTCCTCCCCACCGCCGTACTCCCGTTGACCCATCTTCGCGCACGTTTCGTTCCAGCCCACACATCGCACTCCCACACTTCTCCCCTCCACCCTCTTCCTCCCCAATCTCGACCTCCTTTCTCGGCAACTCCCCACCAATGAACGTATGTCCAGGGGTAATTCTAAACACTTCTGCCGATTCATCCCATAACACTCTCATAAATCTTCTTCCATCCGAACTCTCCACTTCCACCCCCTCTCTCCCTCTATCGTCATATACCCCTGGTACGCAGTCGTCCCGTCTCGACCTTCCCGCTTCGACTTCCCTTTTCTCCACCTTGCAGCCTAAACAGCCTCCTCCCGACGTTTTGACAACTGATTTGCGGGCGGTGCGATGGAGATGGGGCCTGCCTAGTGTTCCCGTACTGCTTTCGGTATCTGATGAGAAGAATGGCGATCACACGAAACAAGCATGGTACCTTGAGGCCCTCATGGTAACCAAAGTGTGTGAAGGAGATCTATGTATCAAACTAATGGACGACACGAGTAGGACCAGAACATGGTGCTGCGTGGTTATTTGTGTCAACGGAGGCGTCATGAAGACAAAAACCCAGCAGTGAAAGGGGGAAGAGGTGCGAGACGTCGAGGGGAAGGCTGGGTGAGACGTAGGAGGAGGGGAATGAGAGGGACGGGTGTGGGAGGGACGGCTAGAGGTTGCACAGATAACGTTGTATCTCCGTCGGCTGATCACATATTATCAGTGTTTGACTAGACAAAAGTAACCATTAAATCAGAGGCAGGTGGAGAAAAATCGAACGGAAGTTAAGACTATGGCATTTTGGGAAATGACATTCAAGAAAGGGGATGTAAGATGAACAAAACTTAGCGGGAGGGGTTATTTGAGGAAGCTGAGGGAAGCAAGATCAGGATGGGCACCAGGCAGGTGAGATATCCAATATTGGTAGATTGCGTGGGAGTCGCCGGAGGGCCAATTGTCGATAAACCACGTTATGAGAGACTGATAAAATTCCACATAATCGAGTGAATGAATTCCGGGGCCATGGAGGTGAACGCGTGGATCGTGTGTGGTAGAGCCAATGATCTCCGATGGTCTGTGCTCGGTAAAGACAAACCGGAGCTGGTTGAAAAACGTGAGTCACTAGCGGGCCTCTTCTGGATACACTTACTCTGGTAACAAGATAACAGAGGGAAGGAATGAAATACTGGATAGTGTCTTTGTGGTTGGGTGAGTAAAGTGGAGATGGTCCGGATATAGAGAGGCGATGCCTCTGATACAGATGTCCATAGGCCTGACACTATAATTAGCAAAAGCGGCCTGACTGTGACAAGAAGGAACTGACTCTGAGCAGTGCGGGGGCGCAGAAAAGTCCGTCAGCGGGGAGGGTAGAATGACGAGTGGCAAAGGGGTACAGAAACGCAGGGAGACATAAGTCCGAGGTGGCGTCGGTGAGTCCATCAATATCCTTCAAGAGGGACTGGAAAGGGGGTAAACTGTGGTTGGGCTTGCGGTATGACATGAAGAGATCAGGCAGAATTTGTCGAATAACCAGGTCGTCACGGTCAAGAGTCCAAGTCCGGTCCATGTCAAGCTGAGGCATACAGGTTATCGAATGGGAGAGATAGAAGGGGGAAAAGAGGAACCTCTTGGGTCAGGAGGGCTAGGTCATTGGTGTTGTGGAAGTGACGGGTAATGGTTGGTGCAACACGCGCAAGGAGGAGATACTGGTCCTTGTATTCCTGCGAGATCCTGGGAGGGCAGATAAAAGTCACGGAAGGGAAGTGAAAAAAGAGGCACTTGCATTTCTGGACTAAAAGGGACGCCAGCAAGATAAGATGACAGAGGAGATGTTACGGCAGTTTGACTAGTCCTGGCAGGAGGTTGAGCAGGATGAGAGAGGAACGTGTATGGCATACAATGGATCGTGAATCCATTCTCCTGTAGAGGCCGTGGCGATTGTTGCTGCGATGAGGAGAGGGGCAAATGGATGCGCAATAGAAGCGACCTGTGTGAAGACTGCACCTGATAGCTGAATATCATTTCTGGGGAATAAAAAGCAAGTCAGCGCGAGAATTGGGCTGGTTTGGGGGAGACGGCTCGCACAATGCACGTTTAGCGCGCACAGCGCGGTCAATTGGCACATTGCAGTAGAGACGACGCCATACCCAGGCCTGGAAAGGATAAACGAGTGGACATAAAAATGAGGGGAAGTGAACGCACAAGTCTCTGATGATGCTGGGAACAGTAGTAGAGACCGTGGCAACCGGAGCAACGGAGAGCGACTCCTTGTTTAAAACAGAGAGCGCAAGCATTGGGTGCCGACGTTGAGTCAGAATGGTGAAGTGACATACAGGACAATTGCGGAAGGGTTTGGGTTAAATGTGAGGGGACAGAACAAGGATGGAATGAAATGAGGGGGAAAGCAACTGACGGGATTTTAAAGTGAGCAGCTGCAGGAAGGAGGGGGACGGCAATCGAACCAGGGAAAGGGGGGCACGAAAAGAAATTTAGGCCGATACCAAGAAGCGAGGAGGTAACGAGGGAAGACATATAGGAAGGGGGGACACCATAAGCAAGAAAAGGCTCAAGAGGCGATGGATGGTGGAAAAACATCATGTGTCGGATGTGTGGATGTACACAATGCAAACCAGCACTGAGAGAGGAAAGCACGGGGTCCAGATGAGAAGATGTTGAGACAATGGGTACCGGAGGGTACGAGACTGGTGGGGATGGCGGGGGAATTCCTAGTGGGGAGCATTACGTTGCATGCGGCTGGAAGGGAAAGTGTCGCATGATAACAGAATTACGGGAGTATACCCTCCGTACCGGTGGGTATACTGCCGTACCGGAGGAAGGAGAGTTCTGTCGCATTTGAGCAACCATAGGGAAAGCTGCAATCCCGGATGAAAGCGGTGGTCCTGGCGAAGTAACCTCGGAACCGAAGCGCCGAATCTCAGGTGTGTCCCTTACCTGCTGGTGCAAGTCATTGGTCGGAGAAGCTGACTACAATGGCACCACTCCCGTTTCCCGCAAAATGACTGAAGTGGGCAGCCTGATACCAGGCTTTGACAATGAGGCCTTATGTGCGTTAATCGTATCCGCGGCCGGTGTGAGAACGGCCCTTTTCATCGCATCTGAATCCGAAAGGAATGTATGTGAAAAAAGAAGAAAAAGAATATTTGGAAGAGAAAAATCATCGATTAGAACACCAGGAGACAGAGGAAGCAACCTGCTCCTTGAGCTCGGCGGGAAAACAATTGATTATATGGTCATGTCCTCGCAAACATGTATTTTCCAACTTTCGCCTCCCGACGTCCATGGACAAAAGTAACAACGCCAGAACCAGAGTCATCAGAACTGGCGCAATTGCCTAGCCGGCTCGGGGAAGACCAGCCCGCCCGGCCAAGGTCCCTCCATGCTGGGGTCACTCTCATACGCGAACCCCAGTCCTCCTATGCCCAGAGCTAGCATGAGCGCTGGACAGCATCCATTCCTGTGTGAATTCGGGGGGCAGAGGCAGATGCTCGATCCACCTGCGGCTGCAGTATATCTGACTGCGGGCGTGTTCAAGTTGGAGTGGGGGTTGGGGTTGGAGTTGAAGATGGGATTGTAGTTGAAGTCGAGGTTGGATGGGGTGGGGGTAAGGAGGAGCGGCCGTTGTTGCATGACGAAACCTCCTGGGAACGCATCTTGGAATCCTAGAAAGGGGCTGGGTGAGTGTCCGTCCAGGGTCAACGGTGGTAGAGCGTTCTCTAGCACTTGCGGAGGGCTCGTATAGATGACCTCTCGTGGGGTGGGGCGAGGCGTGCGAGGCGTGCGGGGGAGACAGGGCTCGGGTAGCTGCTGTGGAGGGAGAGGGAAGGAAGGTCCAGGCAGCTGCACGGCCAGAGAAACAGTTGTGGACGCTTCTTGCCTCGATGTTGGCCAGGTCCCGGAAATAGCGCCTGTTTGCGCGAACTCCTCGGATCTGATCGAATGGAGGGAGGGGTCGGCAAGCTGCTCTAGCGCAAGAAGGACAGCAGGAATGGGCGCTCTTTCGCAAGTTGGAAGGAGTGTACGTGCAGGCTGTGTTTCGGGAACTGGACGGTGGGGCTGTAGAATACCGGACGATGTTTGGGCACGCCTTGCAAGTGCGCGCAAAACCTGGGTTACAGCAGGCAGAGGGCGAGTCATGTCCTCATGTTCCTCTTCTTCTTCGATAATTTGGGAGGAGAGCGAGTCCTGTCTCTTGGCTGGTCGGATGGCCCTAAAGTCTTCGGAGTTGAGCGACTCGGGAGAGTGGCAGAGGGGAATAGACTCGCTCGTCCTAGGTGAAGGGTGGGAGATGGAGGAGGCACAGGTGTTGGCGGTGTTGGAGCGAGACTGTGCCGTACGGCATGGGAGTGGGAGGGAGGGCATGATGCGCACTATGAGGTCCAGTCTGCTCTCTTTAGCTGAGTGCAAATCTCAGTCTGAGTCTGACGGCACAGAGGAAGTAGGCTCGCGCTTATGGAGGGGAATGTCGAGAACGGGGGTTTATGAGCACACGGAAGGGAGGCCGGGAATGCATCTTTGACGCCCAGCGCAGATGACTTGCATCTGCCTGAAGAGCAGCAGCCATGGATATCATGTTTGCTGAAGACGCCGATGCAAAAGTCATTGGTCAATCCGAGCAAGATCATCAGCGCAGAGGGGCAATCCAGACAAGCACGAACTGAAGCCAATTCCCGAGGCAGAAGGAGCAGAGGGTCAAGAGCAGGACGGAGCACCACACCCTGAAAGCGCTGTAAATCCATAATCCCGGTCCCGTGACCGGCACCATACCCGGTCCAGTGCAATAACCAGCTAATCTCTCCTTCATACGCTCTCTTGCCCAAAAATGCCAGCCCCAGGCAAACGAGTCGGGGGCGAAACAGGCAGCGTTCGCACCCCTCTCCCCTTAGACAAGCTCAACCTCTACCTCTCCCAACGTGTGCCCCAGGCAACGACTCCCGTGAGCGTAAAGCAGTTCAAGGTCTGCCATCTTCCCGCGGACATGTTTGCTTGAATTGATCTTTCGGTAGTTTGGACAGGTAAGGGTGGTTAGTGATTTCCAGTCCGAGGGAGATAACGGGAAATGTAGAGCAATCCCACCTATTTCCTAACCGATGCACTGTACGCCCCCTCCCCTCGTCCTTACATACCCGGCTAATCATCTATCACTCACCAGAGGGCAGCGCTTCGTTCTCCGCCGAAAACCCACAGGCCCGCTCCTCTCCCCCACCGCACACGCCATCGAGCGCGAATACCGTATTCTCTCCGCCCTCGGGGTGCATAACCGTTCCCCCTCTACCTCAGAGGGCCAGCGAGTGCCGGTGCCCGAAGTATATGCGTTATGCGAAGATGCAGAAGTGCTAGGAGCGCCATTTTATGTTATGCAGTTCCTGGATGGGCGGATATTTACCGACCCGGAAACTCCAGAGCTTTCTAAAGAGGAGAAACAGACCTGGTGCGCCCTCCTTGTCTCCGTTACTCAAATGCTAATTGACCTTCCTTTGCTGCCAGCTGGCTTTCAGCGGTCCGTGCACTCGCAGCGCTCTCCTCACTTTCCCCATCCTGCCTAGGGCTAGAGAGCTATGGCCCCTCCACCCCTTACTTCCCCCGCCAGATCCGTTCGCTCACCCGTGTCTCACATGCTCAGGCTTCCACGGCCGACGTCGACACTGGCGCGTTAGTTGGCCCTATACCACAGTTCGATACGCTTATTGACTGGTATACGCGGCATCTTCCCCAAGCAGAGGAAGTCAGAATAGTGCATGGGGATTATAAGCTTGACAACTTGGTGTTCCACCCTACAGAACCCAAAGTCATTGGCATCTTGGACTGGGAACTGAGCACGCTAGGCAACCCCGTACGCCCCCATATCTTTTACGTAACAACTTGCTTATATGTGGATGAGCGCAGCTGGTAGACCTTGCCAACCTCCTCCAACCATGGTACGCCGACCCCCTGTTCCTCACTCCAGAGCTTCAGACACAAGGTAAATGGCGCGCCTGGAAGAGTCTCCCCTCTGACCGACTACCCGCCCCGCCGCTAGAGGTATTGGAGAGAGAGTACGCGCAGTTGATGGGGTTGGCGTACCCAATTAAGGATATGAACTTTGCCAGTAGTTGGATGTTTTTCCGGGTGCGCTCCTCTCCCACCTTTGTCAGAGCTTGCTGATGAATTAATGTAGCTTGCAGTGATAGCTCAAGGGATCGCAGCCCGAAACGCAAGACGTCAGGCTTCGAGTGAGAGAGCGGCAATCTACGGAAAGGCGTTTCCGATCATGGGTGTGTTGGCGAAGCAGCTTATGGATGAAGAGGACGCAAGGAGGGCTAGGCTGTAGATATGTTAGCGTGGGGTAATCGAAATAAATCATACACTCCAGTATCTTGCCCTGTATGTCTGGTCGAGGTGTGAAGTTGACGGACAGGTTCATTGTTGTCGCTTTCGTATAGCCACCATAATTGTTTATATACAGCCTCCGTAATATTCAAGGGTTCACCGGTCTCCCGCCATCACCGACAAGGACGACAAGGAGGGAAGCTCATTTCTAGTTACTTGATGTAATACTGCTAACAATACTATCGCATCACGTTCTTTTACTGGACTATGCGATGCTCCACTGTCAACAATCGTTATACGGCAGTGATGCCATCACGTTCCGTCTGAGTCACTGGTCTCAACCTTACTGCCCATACCGTATGCCTGCCCAGTATCGAATGCGCTGTTTACTGTCTGAGATCGAAGCGTTTGTTGACTTCCCTCGATCAGAGCGCGTCTAGAAAGCCTTATTAACCCCCCCCCGTCCCCCCCGATGGAGCTTTCAACTTACTCTTCCCCAAACTACCGCCTCTTCCTCCTCGGTACTCAGGACTGCTGCGCACTCCATCCACTCCCCTACTCCGCTCCCATTCTCATCAATCATACATGCTACATCCCTCGTAGAGACAAAGACGGCTCCCCTCCTTCGATGGCAAGGGACGTGAGCTGCAGTCCTCCTCCTACCAGCGACCTCTTCCCCGGAGCTCTAGCAAGGGTAGGCAACACCCTTCTATCACATTCTTTCGTGGCAGATCTCGTCGATGAT